TGTGCACTACCATGCCTGGCTCAAGAAAGATTGAATTTACTGACAACAGTGAAATCCTGTATCAAACAGAATACTGATCCACAACCTGTAGCCCAGGAAGCCAACCAGTTAACTGGAGCCACTAGCCGGACACTTGCTATGTTGGCTGGTCTGATGTCAACTCGACACAAACTACAGTTATTCTGAATGGGGGGAACCTTAATTGAGATAATGCCTCCATAAGATCTGGCTGTAAGACATTTTCTTAATTAGTGCTTCATGGGGGAGGTCCTAGCCCATTGTGGGTGATGCTGTCCCTTGACTGGTGGTCCTGGGTTCTGTAAGTAGACTCAGCAAGCCATGAGGAGCAAGCACCCCTCCATGGCCTCTGCATCAGCTCCTGCCTCTAGGTTCCTGCCCTGTTTGAGTTCCTGTCCTGACTCTGCCAGTGATAAGACTGCAATGTGGAAGTGTAAGCCCAATAAGCCCTTCCGTCCCCAACTTGCTTTTTGGTCCTGGTGCTTTGTGGAAGCAACGGAAATCCCAACTAAGACACTTGCTCACTTAAATCGGACATCATAGGAAGTGTTGTCTGTAACAACCACTCAACAAGCCAAACCATAACCCCTGTGACAATTGGCTCTAAAAGGACTCAATAACCTGCAGCTACTCTAATTTGGGGGGGGGCATGGTAGATACATAGTTAAGACAGGATCTCATTTAGCCCAGGCTGGCCTCAAACTATGTAGCTGAGGCTGGCTTTGAACTCCTGGGTCCTTCTGCCTCTACTTCCCAAGTATTGGGATTACAGGTTTCAACTATCACACGTGGGTGAGCTTCCCTGAGTTTTGTCTCTATATCCAACTACGGACCCTAAGGAGAAAGCTAAACCTATCTCTACCCAATTCTAGTGGTCCACGCCCAAGGATGCCTGCTTTTAGCAAGCAACTAGCAGTTGCCCAAGCCATAACCCTTGCTTTTGTTCCACTATGAAGGATTCCTGGTCCCCTGCCTGCTCTGGAACCTCTGTCAAGTGCACATGAGCGGGTTGGCTTCCGGTTCTACAGCAGATGCCCAGGGCAGGGACCTCCACCAGTCTCACCTGTTGGGAGGGGGCAGGTATATTTATCTCTTAGGTGTGCCTCACACTCCTCTGACCTAGCAGGTTCACAACACAATCAAAAGAGCCGAGTGATGGGAGAGCAAGAAAGGAGACAGATACAGAAGAGCCATACCCAGAAACCGAGATCCCATTCTACAGTTCATCTGCGATTCCCACTGATTCTGTCTAGCCCCTTCACTCGCTCAGGTCTTGCTGTTTTGCTTTGCTTCTTTTAAGACATCATATATCTCAGGCTGTCCTCCAACTGGTAGGTAGCAGAAGATGTCTTTGAACTCCTGATCCTCTTGCCTCTACCCCTAGAGTGCCGGGATCACTAGTACATGTCACCACAACTGTCTTATGCGGTGCTAGCGGCTGAACCTAGAGCCCTGTGTGTGCTAGACAAGCCACTGTAGACCAAGTTCTGTCTTTTCATTTCAGTAGAATGAGTGAGGGACATGGAAAGACAGAATCAAAGATGATCTAACCATGGGAAGCCGTGAGTCTGATGGAGAGAGTTCTGAGGGGCCTGAGGCAGGCAGGGGATACGTGGCACATCTGCTGCTGTCAAGAGCCCAGAAGAAGACACAGCAAGCAGTCTTTTCAGTGCCAATACCGTCTCCTCCACACACATGCAGCTTGGGGTGAGAGTGCGTGCGCACACGCGCGTGCATGTGTGTGTTGTGTGTGTGTCTTCTGTTGAAAGAGAAGTCGTAACAAAGATTTTGGCTCAGAGCTATCTCTCTAAGAGCCGAATGAGCCTTGGCTCCAGCACTCGCCACCTCAACCTCACCACCCTCGGCTCCTGGCCACCACAGCCTACAATCCACTGTGTGAAATCCAATTAGCAGATCTGGCCTTCCTTTTGAAACGCCAAGCTGAGGGATGGAGGAGTCAGGAGCTGGTGGGGGCAGAGAGCAGAGAATTCAGATGGCAGTAGACATTTGAACTTCAATAGGCATTTGATCCAATGGTACCCGAGTGAGTACACTGGTGTTGGCGAAGCCCTGAGCAGCATTTCCCCCAAGATGCTAGTGAGGGGCCTCTGAAAGCGCTTCCTCCAGCCCTCAGCGCCCACACTGCTCGCAGCTCTTCTGCCCAGCGGCCTGTCCTCCTCCATGTGTCCTTGCCAGCATCCCGGCCCTCAGGGGGCAGGGTGGGGGTAACGAATGAGCATCCTGTAGCCTATACCTGGTTGACTGCTCGATGTTATTTCCCTACCTCTAGACTCGGGTCTGGAAGACTGCAGGTGTTTAAGAGATGGACCGAGAATAAGAAAGCAGACAGGATCTCCCCTCTGCCCAAGGAAGCCTGACTGCTCTTTCTGGGACTGCCCGGCCACCTCTCTCTCCAGAAAACAAATGCGCATGACTGAGAATGTGGCTGCACTGGGAGAGGGCTTGCTTACCCAGTATGATGAAGCCTGGGTTGGATCCCCAGTGCCATGTAAGATGGGCATGTGACCCCTACACTCAGAAGATGGAGGCAGAAGGATCAGAAGGTTTAAGGTCACCTTCAACTAAATAGAACACTCTATTTTGACTTTGTCAATCTATTTTGACTTTGTCAAGAGTATAAGACCTTTGAGCTAATACAGGTACCCTGTGAGGTGGCCCACTTGGAGCCAAGCCCTGGAGGTTCTGTTCTGGATCCTTACTGAGCCAAGTCCTTCCTCTTTGATTCTTCATCTCCTTCCATGAAGCAGGAAACTAGTGGCCATGCCATTATTTTACAAGCTAAATCTACATTGCAAATGCTTCTTACTGGCTTTCACATTACATAAAACCTGGGGAGATTCTCACGCACTGCTTATTTCCAGCTTCTCTTAAACAACCAGCAGCAGCCAGCCACGGGAGTCTATGACTACACAATCCTAGTGCTTGGGAGGCGGGAGCAAGAGCATCAGAAGTTCCAGGTCACCTCTGGCTCCACAGTCTGAGGTCAGCCTAGGCTACTGGAGACCCTGTCTCAAGAAAACCAAATTGGATATATGATCAGAAGGATGGACATCACCAGTCTGTCTTCTCTTGTGGCACATACAGCTGAGGGACACACCAGTGGCGGGTGGGGAAGCCCCCATGACTCCTTACTGCCAGACGCTCAATGCAAGTCACCCATTACTCATCACATGCTAGCCTCTTAGACGCTTGTGCTGATAACTGCGGGTGTCAGCACTTAAGGCCCGCACATGCCAAGCCTAGGCTCACACTCAGTTATCCAACTCATCTGGCCTTGGGATGATAGTGTGTACAGAGAAGTTCTGGCTTCATCAAGGGGCATGAACTAAGTCTGAGGGGCCCGCTGGCTACGAGTACCCACATCGCCTATGTAAAGTGGCAGATGCTAGAAAAAGACTGAAGAGAAACCAGCTAGGTTAAAGTACACACGGGTGCCTCTGGGGAAACAAGCCCTGCCCTGCTTCCCCCCCTTCCCCCTTCCCCGTCCCCTCCCCCCTCCCCTCCCCTCCCCTCCCTCCCCAGCACAGGAACTGTTTGAGCCCTATGATCTTCACTCAGAAGGAGCCACCCAGACTAATAATGTGCCTTTATGCCCATGAGACAGTGAGGCTGGCCTCACCTGGATCTTTCAGGCTTCACCCTGACCCGTGACACCAATTCTTACTATGTGCAGGACCAAGCTTTGCTCATTCACACTCATCTCTGCCTTTCTGTCTCTATCCAACACCTACAGCTCCCTGAGGAAGCCTGCTGTCTTGGAGATTCTATTGTTGCGATGATGAAACACTGTGAGCTAAGGTAACTTGGGGAGGAAAGGATTTATTTGGCTTATACTTCTATATCACTATTCATCACTGAAGGGAGTCAGGACAGGAGCTCAACCAGAGCAGGATCCTAGAGGCAGGAGCCGATGCAGAAGCCACAGAAGGGTGCTGCTTCCTGGCTTGCTCCTCTTGCCCACATTCTTATAGAACCCAGGACCACCAGCCTAGGGACAGCACCACCCACCATGGGCTGGGCCCTCCTCCATTGATCACTAAAAGAGCAAATGCCTTACAGCTGGATCTCATGGAGGCATTTCCTCAACTGAGGCTCCTTCCTCTCTGATGACTCTAACTTGTGTCAAGTTGACACACAGTACCAGCCAGAACATCTGACCAGCCAAAATCAGGGGGTCTGAAATACATTTGCTTGTTCTTCATACAGGACCAGTAATTTGTGTTTGTTTCCCTAAACAGAATCACGGACCCTTTTCATACCCCTGGCAGACAGAGAGCCCTAGGAGGCAGGATTCACCTTGCTCGAGCATCCTGTGCCTTCTGCAACTCTCCCCATGCTGTGCCACCATCGACGGGGCAGAACGACGGAGGGAGGGAGTACCACAGTTTCAGCCTTCCAGAGACACCGCTGCAGAAGTTCCAAAATGCTCACCTGCTGGCCTCCTGCCCAGCACCCTCCAAAGACCATATCCACTCACTCGGTGTGTGCCAGAGAGATAAGCCAGCATGGCTGGCACCTGTCACAGCTGCCTTGAGAAAGCGACATGAAAGAAGAGAGCGGCACTGGGGAGGAGACGGGAATCAGTCATTCACGCCTCCTCGGCTTGTGGTCTGTTCAGAATGAAAGAGTCAATCGAGCCAACGCTTGTCTTCAGCCAGTCTTTTTTGTTTGCTTGGTTTTTTGTTTGTTTGTTTGTTTGTTTTTTGAGACAGGGCTTCTCTGTGCAGCAGCCCTGTCTGTCCTGGAACTCACTCTGTAGACCAGGCTGGTCTCAAACTCAGAAAGACCTGCCTGCCTCTACCTCCTGGGAAAAAGGCATGTGCCACCACACCCTGCTCAATCAATCTTAATAAATCAGGTTGATCCAGGACCATCTCTGGGGACAGTCTCCAGAGGGGGTGAGACCCTGAAGGTCAGGACCTGGTCACATACTCCTTGCCTGAGCTAGCCCCCTGGCTTACCTCGAAGCTGACTGAAGGTGGTCATGAACTTGCTGGTGAGGGACTTGAGTTCATTGTTAGCCAGTGTGATGAGGTGGATCTGGTCGGAGACGTTCCTCAGGACCTTGTAGATGCAGATGGGGAAAGAAACAAGCTTGCAGTCGGCCAGGTCTGCAGCAAAAGAACACAGACAGATCAGAGCCATTAATGGTAGCTTCCTAAAAGCCCACCCCAGACCCACATGAACCTAACCCACCTCTCCCTCCAGTTTCTTCCCCTCCATCTTCTTCCCCTCCATCTCCTTCCCCTCCATCTCCTTCCCCTCCAGTTTCTTCCCCTCCATCTTCTTCCCCTCCATCTTCTTCCCCTCCAGCTTCTTCCCCTCCAGCTTCTGTGTCCTCCGGCCTGCCCCGTAGCCCCATCAGCGTTACGCCTCACTTGTCCCTCCTTCACATTCTGAACCTTGGTTTTGTCTCCATCTCTAATACCACAGCAGACTAGCTGGAATCCAAGAGGCAGAACCTTGAAGTCACAATAACAATGTCATTCCAGGCAGCATTGTTCAGGCCCTTCCCTTACAGAACCAATTGCTTTGGAATCAAAGACCCGACAATGAGGCAGCCTCTCAAGGGTACTTCACTTGCTTTGGACACACACAATGCTCAGACTCTGTGGTTTGCCCATCTTCCCAGGCCTGTATTAAACAAGCAGAGAAGCCACTGAGCAGAACAGGCTCGCACTGCCCCGGGGACAGACCACAGAGTCATTGTATGCCACCCAGGAGACAAGAAGACAAGTGTTTCCATGCAGAAAGCGCCAGACATGCAGGGGTCTTCAGCTGCTTTGCTGGCAAGGCCTGAGAGCAGAACGTCACAACTGACCCCAGGCTGAGAAATGGGTGATGTGCCCATACAAAGGAATATTGCCCCACAACAAGAAGAAATGCCACAGAGGCTGGGGAGGTGGTGTGGTTAGTTAAGAGCGTGCCTTGCGGGTGCAAGGGCATGCACGTGATCTCCAGAATCCACGAGGAGGGGGGAGAAACATGCTGTTGCAGTGACGGCGGTGTGTCTCTGATCCCTGTGCTGGAAAGGTAGACACAGGCTTAGACCTGAGGCTCACCGGTCAGTCAGCCTACTCCACTTCTTGAGTTAAAGCCCAGGGAGTGACCCCACCTTAAAAACAGGGGAAAACTTGGATGGCAACCAAGAAACAACATACATGCACACACATGCCTGTGTATGTAAGAACATGCCCCGTGGCCACAGAGAAATAATACCATAACATGGAAGAATCATGAAAACATGGTGCTGAGCCAAAGAAGCCCGGCATGAGCACCACACATCAGCCGGAATCCACACGCGTGAAGCGTGAAGAGGCAAATCCACTCAGACAGAAAGCAGACGGATGATGAATACACAGGCTGCAGGAGAAAGGATCGGGGAATGGCTATTTGCTGCGAAATGTTCTAAAATTGGACTGTGCCATCAATTTTATAGCTCCTTGAATACAATGAAAACAACTAAAAGGGTTTCTTCCATCTTCTCTTTCCATCTTCTCTCTCCTCTCTTCCTTCCTTTTGTCTTCATCGCCTCACATAGCATATGCAGGCTAGCCTCAAACTAACTTTGTGGCCAAGGACGACTGTCAACTTCTGATCCTCCTGCCTCCACCTCCTAAGAGCTGGGGGTACAGTTGTGCCTTACCACATCCAGTTTCACAATGTGTTGGGGACCGAACCCAGTGCTTTGCCTATGCTGGGCAAGCACTCTGCCCACTTAGCCATATGCCCAGCCTCAGGTCTCCATAATGAGTTAGGTCTCCACAGAACTGCGTGAACACACAGAGAAACCCATGGAACCTATGCTGTTAGGCTACCCAGCTCTCCCCAGTTACTAAAGCTCCCCGAGTCTCAGTTTCCTCATCTATTATGCAAAACAACAACAATGGTATTTGACTGGCAGCTGCCAGGAAGAGAAAACTCTGATAAAATCATAACTCACCAAGGGCCCAGCACACACACACACACACCCTCCACTCTCCCTCCTCACTCTGTTCAAACCCTTTCTATACTTTCAAGCTGGCTCCCTCCAGACCTCTCCTGGGAGACTTTCGGAGCTTCCCTGTTGCTGGCCATGGCCTTCTGAGGCCTTGTGGCTCTCAGTGACTGTAGCAGCACCATCCCATCTCTTCTCATAGAAGCCTGGCTCTCTTAGGTTGCCACGCATTTGCAGATGGCTCCAGAATAAATACACAGCCCCATGTGGTTTTCAGTCATTGTTTCTCTGTTGTGCACACTGGAAGCTGAACCTAGGGCCTTGCACTTGCTAGGTAAGTGCTCTACCACTGTGCCATATTCCCAATAGAAGAATTTAAAGTTCCTGTCACTAAGAACAACAACAACAAAAATACAAAGCGCATGGGAATGGTCATGTAGTAACCATGAAACCATTCACAAGCCACTGACCCACGGAATCTCCACTCTTGTTCCAAGTCCTAGTCAAATGTCGCCTACTCCATGAAACATCTCACTGTCCTAGTTTCATGCAATGCCACTGTGACAGCTTAATCCTAGGTTTTATTAACATCTGTTTGTGTCTGTTTTCAGATATTTTTAGGCTTAACATGTGAAGGCAGACAATATGTTCATTGGTAACAAGAAAAAAATACTAAATTATGTTGCTTTTTAAAATCAGGTTTTATTTGACTTCTAAGTTATTTGTGCGTGCGTGCGTGCGTGCGTGCGTGCGTGTGTGTGTGTGTGTGTGTGTGTGTGTGTGTGTGTGTATACATGGATGGATGTGCAGGTGCCCAAGGAGGTCAGTAGAGGGAGTCAGATTCCCTGAAGCTGGAGTGACAGGTGGTTGCGACTCATCCCACCTAGGCAACTGAACTCTGGTCCTCTGAATGAGCAGACAGGGCTCTCAATAATTCACAGAGCCATCTTTCATTTGTTTTTGAGACAGAGTTTCTCTGTGTAGCCCTGGTTGTCCTGGATCTCACTATGTAGACCAGGCTGGACTCAAGAGATCTGCCTCCCTCTGCCTCCTGAGTGCTGGGATTAAAGGTGTGCTCCAACCACCACTGCCCGGCTCCGTGTTACCTTTTTTAAAGGTAAAAAATGCTCACCAGCTCCCTTACATAACAGCTCGAGCAAAACGAAAAAAGAGACTCCCCAGAGACTCAAAAGTTTTATCCACACCAGAATACTCAGAAGTGATCAGAGTTAATGTTTAATGTTAGGTTAAAGGTATCTTTCCAAACTTAGGGATCATTTAAGAAATTGCATAAAAGATAGACCACTGAATATTTAAAAAAGAAAAATATCCAGGTGGTGGTGGCGCAAACCTTTAAATCCTAGCACTTGGGAGGCAGAGGCCGGTAGATCTCTGAGAGTCAGAGGCCAGTCTGGTCTACAGAGCCAGTTCCAGGACAGCCAAGGACACAGAGAGAGACCCTGTTCTGAAAAACTAAAACTATATATAGTAATAATAACAATGACAATAATGGTAATAAGGCAAGGGGCTGGCAAAATGACTCCGTGGTTAAGGGTGCTTGCTGCCCTTCCATAGGACCAAGTTTAGTTCCCGGCACCCATATCAGGCAGCTCACAACCACCTGTAACTCCACCCCAAAAGATCCATTGCCATTGCAAGCTTCTGAGGCACATACATGGCACATGCAAAGACACGCAAAGACACACACACACACACACACACACACACACTAGATGATTTAGCCAGGCAGGTGGTGCACACCTTTAATCCCAGCACTCGGGAGGCAAAGGCAGGTGGATCTGTGTGAGTTTGAGGGCAGCCTGGTTTACAGAGTGATTTCCAGGACAGCCAGAGCTACATCGAGAAACTCTTGTCTCAAAAACAAAAACAAAAACAAAAACAAACAAAAAATAGATCTTTTAAAGAAAATAAGGTAAAAAAATGAATTATGCAAGTCTATAAATAAGATAAAGAAAATGAAAATGCTTAAGATAATAATATTAAAAATTAACAGTAATTAATAAATTGAACCTACGACAGTTACAAAGGGAAAATATAAGCATAAACAAATATGCAGCCCTCACATGGATTGCAAGCTGCTTTCTAGAACATTATGTTGATTTATAAATCTAATGAGCAATAGTATTGTGCTTTAAAAAACATACCTTGCTGATATGATCAGTGGAATGGTATCCCTTGGCCTAATCTGCAGTGCTTTGGGTAATGAGACTAATTACATTTTATAGTCAATTAACCATCTTTATTTCCCCCGTGAAGCATTCTGCTCTCATCTTTTGTTATTTTGCTTGGCATTCTGGAGGGCCTTCACTGACAGCATGGTAAAGCTCCTTCTACAGGAACTGTCAACCCACATCTGCTGGTAATTTTCACATTTAATAGTTCACAATTTCCCAACTTCATAGTTCATATCAAGCTTTCCAATTTTTATAATTCACATCATAGAGGTTAGATTTTTGTTTTCTTTTTTAGAGCAGGGCTGGCCTCTACCTCACTGTATAGCTGAGCATGACCTTGAATTTCTGATCCTCCTGACTCTACAGGTGGGTGTCACCATTCCTGGTTTTATGCTATGCCAGCGATGGAACCCAGGGTTTCATATGTGCTAGGCAAGATTCTACCTATATCTTGAGCCCCAAGACTGGCAATTTTTTAAACAAAATACTGAAATTAAGCTGAGTATGAAGGTGTGTGCCTGTAATCTCAACTACCTCGCAGAAAGAACTAGAAGGACCATTTGACCCTAGCAGTTCAAGGCCAGCAGGATAATAAAGCAAGATGACATCTCAACTAGATATAAAGTACACAGGCTTGGGAAAGACAGTCTGAAAAAATAAATAACTAGAGTGCCAACAGTAATTATTTGAGAGTATTTTGATTGTTTTGTTACCACAGTCACAATATTTTACATAAGTAAATGATACTTTAAGGACAGAAAAATACATGTATCACAAAATGAACTTTTGTGTGGGGGGGGAAACCTGGTAAATTTGAAGTTAAACTAGGCAGTCATTTTCTTGTCAATAAGACTGAACAAGGCAGAGGGCGAGGCTGGCAGGGAGGGAGTATGGTCCTGTGCAGCCGATGGGCCAGAAAAACAAGGTCTGTCTGAAGCATCCTGGAGCAGTCTGGGTAATCACTCCTCCGCAGTGTCTG